ATACCCTGGATTTGATTCGACTCTGGCACGACGTCTGAATCAGAGTTGATTTCCTGCCGTGCTACAGTCGAACCAAATTGCAATTTAGTTCGGCACTGCAGAAGCACGACGTCTGAACTGGGCCTCAGTCAGTCGTTAGCCAACATTACAAGATGCAGGCACGTCTTATCTGATCACATTACATATAGCATACTTTCTAGACGGTTTGTAGGACGCTGGGACGCCCCCTAAACCAGGTGAAAAACACTTGAATACTTCAACCTCGATTTCAGGAGCTGTGTCACGTTGCCTTGCTCTTCTTTCGGCACACTTGTTTATTTTCTTGTTCTTGCAGATTGGGCGCATTGCTGACTGAAGTGTGCAGGACTTCCAAGATATCCACCACACTGAGTTTCAAGCGTTGTTAACAGTAGGTGTTCCTTTACATGTACTTGATAATACTCGGGAAGCGCTCAATAAGAGCCTGCCTGCTCAGACGGAAAATGTTAATGCTGTTGTTTACTCTGTTACCAGATCTTTTGTTGCTCTTGCAGAGACATACTTTTTTAAGCTAACCTAGCTTTATCTGTCTTGACTTGTAGCTGAATTTTTAAGCGCACAGGTTTAAGGAAATAGAAATTTATTCCACGAATTTGCGAGTTGTTGCACATTTGGTTTCTGAAGATGTTGGCTGGTTATCCGTCGCGTTTTAAACGACCTAATCCAGCTAACTGCTCATGCTGGATTTATCCCTGACGAAGAGCACTTTCAGAGGAGGGGGCATCAGTTTGTACAAAAGAGCTGCACCGACTGATGTCAAAAGATTGAATACCTTTCTTAGAATCGGCTTATTTTAATTCGCAATACGCCTTACTGAAATTTGACGAGGGCAAAGTGAGTTACAGTTTTATGGGAATTTTCTCACCGGACTCATTCATTAATCACCATGAGACTGGTATTGCGATCTTCCAGTTCTTTAGTGGGCATTTTGAACCCATTTAGTACTAAACAAGAAAAAAAGAACTAGAAAAGGAAGGGAAATATAAAACAGGCTGCGGGATTGGATCTGTTTACATTTCAGAGAAGGTAATTCATGACTATGCTAATTAGTCTGCCAAAAGTGTTAACTTACGTTAACTAATTTTACAATTTTATGGAAAGCGACGTAGACGTCGACGAGTAGTGCGTCGGACGTCATTTTTATCATAGAATCACGGTTGTACTCTGAAGAGATTTGAAAGTTCGCCTCTAAATAACGTACCTTCAAAATCATGCAAGTGCTGATTGTTTTACTTTCAAGGAACTGTTCTCAGGGTCTATAGCACAGATAGCTCTTAGCCCTAGTGTAACGCTAACAGGAGAGTTAAGGAGCGGAAATACGAGCAATATTTTTGTCAAACTTGTCGCGCAACAGTGATGCCGTGATAGTTTTTGTCTAATGCAAACTCGACGTCCTCTGTGGTTTCTTTTTTCCGGACCGAATAGTGGTATTTTCCGCCGAATCCGCCATGTTTGTTGACATTTGATGACAAGAGAGCTCGACCACGAATACGTCATTTTCACGGACCAATCACAGACGTTGTTTGTGAAAATGTTGCGTGACCCTCTGTGCACTGATGCTGAAAGTACTGCCTTGATATTCTTTCTCAGCCTCTTCTGGATCTCTAAAGAAGTAAAGATCAGGAATATCAGTAGGTGTTCCTTTACATGTACTTGATAATACTCGGGAAGCGCTCAACAAGAGCCTGCTCATAAGGAAAATGCTAATACTGTTGTTTACTCTGTTACCAGATCTTTTGTTGCTCTTGCAGAGACATACTTTTGTAAGCCAACATAGCTTTATCTGTCCTGACTTGTGGCTGAACTTTTAAGCGCACAGAGTTTAAGGAAACAGAAATTCATTCAACGTATTTTCGAGTTGCTGCACATTTGGTGCTTGTCCCCCGTCCGATTTTAAAGGTCCTAATCCAGTTAACTGCTCATCTGATAATCCCTATCGAAGAGCACTTTCAGGGGAGAGGAGATCAGTTTGTCCAAATGAGCTGCACTGTTTAGTTTGTCGAAACATTAAATATCAGAGTCCCTTTTCTATCAGAGTATTTGAAATTATGCAAGTATGCTGATTGTTTTGCTTGCAAGGAACTGTTCTCAATAAAGTGGAGAACTCCAAACCCTGGTGTAACACTAACAACAGAGTTAACCTTTACTATAGTTATCATCATTCGCTTTTCGCGGTGAGCGGTTGTACAAAATACATTCAAAACCATTCGAGTATGGCCATCAATTTGTTTTTCGAGAATGAACTGAAATTAATGGAAAAGCAGACCGCACACCTTGATCCGGAAAATGCAGAATAGCGGTGCATCGTCTACCGTTCGTTTTCTTCCATTTATTCACTTTCTTGTGAGAGAGTTTGATAACCTTCAGTTGTTAAACTGCTCAAAAATTACATTGACTTTAGAGACGTCCTTCAGAGTTAACGAGTAGGAAATTCAATGGAAAGCACCTCACTGGGCCATAAAAGATATAGTTTTGTTAAGTAGGTATAGTAAATGACACAACTCTAACGCCGATGATTTTATTTATGCGTTAATCAATTTGGCAACTGAAATTAGATGAAGGCAAAATGAGTGTTATGACTTTTTCACCAGGCGTCTTCAAACGGTATCTTTCAACTGATTTGGTGATCTCTTATGCATCTTTCATTTCATTTTTAACCCGTAAATCTCCAACGAGCAGCGACCATTATCCAGATGCAAGATGAGTAAGTTTGGATGACTCCTAATACTAGGTCGTTCCGACTCCGCTGGAAGTCTCGAAAGCATTTTCGTTCTATTTGTATTAAGTTGTGAAAAAATTAAAACGCGTCTGCACCGATTAGTCACAGTAGTAAAATCAAGAATATATTATTTGAGATTCAAACGCAAGCTCTGTTATCTTGTAGACAAACCGAAGCCCACAATATGGCGGCACTTATTGGGGAAAGAGTTGGAATAAAAAGGACAGGGAGCAAGGCTACAGTGCCCGAGAACCCAACAGCGAAACTGATGTACTACCTTCACTGTGTGGCACACGTTATTCAGCTCGACAATCCGAATCTCAGCAGGCTGAGGAACTACGAGAGGTACTACTTACTAAGCGACGCAGAAATAGACGCCTTGTTGGCACTGGTCCTAATTTTCAGCCCAGATGAGCTGATTGGTAAAGTATTCTTCCCCAGCGAGGACTGTGGGGGAAGCACCAACCAATTCTTTGAGTTGAGTTCAGTCACTCACATGTTAGCTGTGTCAGACAACGTTCTGATTGGAGGAGAAAGGAAGAGAGTAGCTAACATTATGTTCTTTAAGAGATGCTGGTTGGAAGGCAACTTCATTTCACCTTTGAGGTCATTTGAGGGTCGTCTGCAAAGGCTGGCACGGGGTCTACCAGGCAGAGCACCATCTCGCCCCAGAGCACCCTCTCGCCTCAGAGTATTATATCCACCAAGATCATACTCTTCTATACCGGAAAGACCTGACTCTCCTTCTTCGTCATGTTGTTGCAACATTTTGTAGAGAAGTAAATTTGCTGTCAGACAGCACAGTCTCGGCAGAAAAGACTGAAGTCGAACACGTACATAGATGATTTTTAGTTTCCCTGACGAGGATTTCTGAGTTATACTGATTGTTTTTTTTTTTACTTTGGATTCAGTACATAATTACTGAACAGCAATATTTTCAAGCAATTGCAATCAGTGGAGTTTTATGTCAAAATGCAGTGAAAGCAGAAACCACTGAAGTCTACTAGGACTATTACTTGTACGGACGCATACGTACTTGGTAGATAGGTTCCATAACGGATTAATGGGTTGTATTTTCTATACTTTGTGCTCAGTGCATAATTACTGGACAACAATTCTTTGTAGTATTCATCGAAGTTTAATGTTCGTTAAACAGAAATCACAGCAAAACGTCTTAATTCCATAGCTGATTACTGAGATGGGCCTGGGATGTATCTTTTATATTTAGTGTTCAGTCATACAGTACATAATTACCGGATAACAATCCATTTTTTTTTGTGGTGATCAAGGAAGTTAATGTGAGCCAGCAGTCACAGCAAAAACGACTGAACGAATACATTACATGTAATTGATGTTTTTATAACGGATTATTGGGTTGTATTTTCTGTAATTTGTATTCGGTGCATCATTAATTACTGGATAGCAATATTGTAGAGTAATAAACGCAGTTTAATATCAGACCGAGTAGTTATTGCTGACACAACTGAGGTCTATTCATATAGTATTCGCTTGCAGCAGAATAGCCGATAATTAAGAGTTTCCATAACGGATTACTTGGTTGTGTTTTCTATAGTTTTTCATCCCCAGAACCGCTGAATTGTCATATTTTGTAGTAATCAACGCAATTATATGCCATAAAAAGCATTTCGAGAGCACTAACAAGTAAAGTTTATTTAGAGCATTTCTTACACGAACGCAGAAATAGATAATTGATAGTTTTCCTGGCCGCAAGGAACCACTGGGCTCCATTTTCTAGCTGTCATTTTGTATTCAGTACATAATTGCTGAAGTGTAGTATTTTGCGGTATCTAAATCAACCTTATTTGATGTCACATATTTCAGTTACTAACCAACACATCCATAGAAAATGATTTGGTAGCCATCACCAGAAGTAAGTCTCGAGGTACGAGATTGTAACCACTTTGGCCCGCTCTCCAAATTATTGGAGTGTCATTAACGTTGCTGTATTCAATAAATATTTATGCAGCAATTGCAAGATTGTGTTAGCAGTAATGAATTTGTACGATGTTAATTGCTGAATTACATAATCAGTGGAGAATTAATTTGCCCCTCATAACGAAAAAAACGACACTTGAATGTTTTTGAATTTTCGTGAAATGGTTAGGACCTTCTGATGGACAAATCCACCGAAGATCTGTCAACTTTATATTTTCTTAGCTAAGGTACTTGCTGAAACATTTTTTTGTGTAGTTTTGACAAAAACAGGATCAATTGAAACTGAAAGAAAGTGTGTGTCGTTTAGCACTCTATTGCAGTAACTGTTCGGGAAGGTTTCGATTTACTCAGTCGATTCACTCCATGAACAGAAACGAGCAAAAGATGAGTTGGGAAAGGGAGTTGAGCACACAGACAAGTGCAGGCACAAAATTTGAAAGCGGAGAATGAATGGACGGCAAAGTCGAAGTATCCTTAGCCACAACGTGGCCAATTCTAACGTGAAATGGGGCCGCCTGCACACCTGAGAGAGCGGCTCTATTCGTTATGTTTCTTTTCATCTATAGTAACGAGAAAGCTAGGAGGGCTTGATAAACGACAACTGAAAAGAAGACTGAAGATTGAAAAATGTCGGCGAACGCCTCTGATTCAGCAGACCAGTACAGTGAAAATGTATCTAGGCACGAAAGTTGAAATCACCTTGCAATGGCTGGAGCGAACGCATAAGATTTAGTAAGCTTTATACCTGGCGGCTCGGTTACCAGTCGAGTATCAGGGTGTGTTTCATCATACAAAGGTACGTGATGGAAGAACTGAGATTGGATATGGCCGGGAAGGTTTCAGGGCCAATAACATTGGTTCAAACTGTCGTTTAAAGAGGCAATGTCTTAGTGATTTTTTACAACTGAGTAGTTTTGTTGAAAACGAAATAATAGAGCACCAAGAGCAAACTGCAAACTGTTTCCTCGAAATAACAAGCCATGATTTTCTTTGGTGATTTTTTCAAATAGTCTTGAAGAAAAAGGGCTTTTTTAAAAGTTGAGACCCAATTCCACCAAGCCTATTAGCAGCCAAAGATGATAAATAAACACTCCTCCCAGTGGGCACTGAAAGAACAAATATAAAAGCTTGCAACTGTTTGGTAAAGCCAAAACCAATGTAATTACTCTGCCTGACAGACCAATAACAAAAGAAGAAATCAGATAATGAACAAATCAGAATTCGTTGCAAATACAGTCGACTCCCGATAACTCAACCCTGGCTAACTCGAACCTCTGGATTTCCGTCATACATTTACTGCAGTTTCACCCTCGGTAACTCGTATACTTTATAACTCGGACCTCCTGCGCCAGCTCGAAACAATTTTTGTTTCCCTTCAGGTCATTCTCTACATTTTTACCCTCGACAACTCGAACCACGTGCAATAAGTCACGATTGATTTTGATTTTGCTCCTCATTGGTTGACATAAAAGTGGCGGCAGTTTTTCCCACCAATCGTAAGGCGTAGCACGCGGAATACCGTATGATTAAACGATCTGGACCTCTTTCAACCAGTATCAGTTACTCCAGTGGTGATTAAAGGGGTAGCGGTATCATGGGAATTATCCCACATTTCGACCAAAGTTTATTAAATCAATTTTCAGAGGCCTTTTCATTTATGACTTGGTTCTGGATCACCAGTGAGATGAAATCAAGTAAACTGTTGAGGAAGAAACAAACCAGAGTAACTTTTTCCAACTTCATCTGAGACGCAAGAGAAGAACTTGAAAACGTCGGCCCGAATTTATCGGGTTAGCACTCATTTTTATCTCGGCTATGCGTAACCAAAAACATTTCAAAATAGTTTTCGTGAGCAAAATTGGCCGTTTTGAAGAAAATTTGGCTATTATTTTTCGTTTGTTATGGGAAAACAGGTCTCAGACTTTTGATTCCAGAGTTTACTAACAGTCCATGACACTGCCCCTTTGAGTTAAGGTGGTTCGATACAGTTTTTTCTGGACCATACCTATCGTTTTCAATTGGCGTTTTACCAACCTTCCCTTAATCTGATCGATGTGAAAATTACACCAGTTTTTGGAAAAAGATTGAAGTTTGGTTAAATATGTTTTCTAAGGTAATCGTTATGATTCACTCAGATTTCTTCTTTCAGAAAGGGGGCATTAAATGAGTTGCGAAAGTTCGCTTCTTCATATGGGGTAATCTAATTTTTTGTGTATTTACATGTAACGCGTACATATATTCCTGTTATTTTTCGCAAAAGTAGTTTCTAGAATGGAAACTACTTGGCCTGTTTGCTATCTCTTTCGGTGTTATGTTTTTTCCGCTTCTGTCACATTCCTCGAAACTTGGTTTTAGATCGGAAGAGCGTTTTAGAACCAAGACGTTGCAGTTTCTTATCTCTTTTGCTGTGAGGTTAATTTCATACAATTCCACTCTGCTAACTTCCGCTCTCGTGACCTTCCCCGAAACTCGCTTTAAGAAAAATGGTGGAATATTTCCCCCCCGCTTTATCTTCCCAAAGACAGGCGTAGGCTAAAACATCGCTGAGAGCGTTTTAGAATAAGAAGCTTACTTGAATGTATGCTTCCATAATCATGTTAATCTGCATGGAACAAACGCTTTCAGAACGGAGCATTGCAGTTTGTCATCTCTTTTGATGTTACGTTAATCGCATATCCTTCTGCTGTCGTGACCTTTCCCGAAACTCGCTTGCCGGAGGGAAGATCAGGAGAGTTTTCGAACAAGGTTAATGTTTGTGGAATGGAACATTTTCCTCCCGCTATACCTTCCCATAGACACGAAAGCTTAAGCATCGCTGTGTGCGTTTTAGATCGTTTTAAATTCGTAGCACGCTTGTAGAGCGTAGAACAGATACTCAGTCCACAAGAAACGCATATCTCATGTTATGTTTTGTTGGTGTTGTGTTAATTTCATATCACTTTGCTCACTTCCCCAGTAACCCGCTTTACGATACTCGGTCGAGCCAGGACTCGAGCCTGGACTCGAGTTAGGACTCGAGCTAAGACTCGAGCCAGGACTCGAGCTAGGACTCGGGCCACGACTCGAGCCAGGACTCGAGCCTGGACTCGAGCCAGGACTCCAGCTTGGACTCGAGCCAGGACTCGAGTTAGGACTCGAATAAGGACTCCAGCTGGGACTCGCGCCGGCACTCGAGTCTAAAACTGCAAGCCGGTCTTTTTTTTTTCGTCGACTTAGTTTGTGCCAAATGGGGGTCATTATTCCAGGCATCCAAGCGCAGACCGAGGAAACTGGAAATGAGAATCACGACAACCCTCGAAACGCGACAGAGGAGCAGACGACTAAGCAATTTTGTGGAACGAGTTACGAATGACGTTATTGTACCGAAGGCAGGCAAAACAGGTCTGTGTCACAAAAAGAAACGGAGATGATAACGAGCTGGAATCCCTTAAAATAATGCAGAGGAGGGAGTTTCACAACTCAAAAGAAATCCATCGCAGAATTGTACTAGCTGCACCTTCAAATTCCTTCTCCAAAGACAACTAGAAGTCTCAGCCTCAACCACAAAAGAAAGCAAGGCCTTCCATCATTGATTCAGGCGACGAGAATTGAACTTTTATGCATGAAGTAGACTGTTTTCGTTCTGACTTCTGTGACTTCAGAATGAGTTTTCGTCACGTGACATCGTTTTGCATACTAAATGAGATGTATACGCATTTTCGGTTGCGCTATGTTTAACAAACCGGCTACTGGAACAATACACCAAACTCTAAAATTTAAGGGGATAACATTATGGGATTTCAAAACGGATCTAATAAAGTGGCAATTGAACTTCGTGTCGTGCAATTTGGTCTGAAATCATACTTGTGATTTCAAATGGGCGCTCGTTCGATTTTGAAAGCGCGCGTATGATTTCAGACCAAATTGCACTCCACTTGGTTCAATTACTATTATGAATTGGAACCCACTCAGCCCTATTACCATTACTTATCAAACATTTCCGTCATTGGCGTAACAAAATGAATAATATACTTCATGTTTTTGAACCTCTCGAGGGTAGTGTAATATTCAGTGAGACGAATGAGGTAAAAAGAGGAAGAAACTTGGACCCTAATAATGGTGGCAGTTTATTGGAAACAACAATAATTGTAACTGAACACGTGTCCTAGCTGGTCTTTTTTCTTCAGTTCTAGAAATCGTCAGGGCCGTTTTTCCTTGCGTCACCGGGACAATCTTCTACTGGCAATTTTTTGACATTTTGGACTAAAGGCAATTCTGAAAGACGAATGAACGAATTGTTGGTATGAATGAACTTTCCCTTGGAATCGCAACTGTTGAATTCTCTTGAATTTGCGACTGTTCAATTCTCTTTAATTTGCGACTGTCTTCCATGCAATAATTTCGCGCACCGTACTATTGGGTTAAAGCAATTCTTGAGAACTCTAACGCGCGTTAGTAATAATATAGAGACAAGTTAAGACTATGGTGAACTAAATGGCTTTATTTGCCTGGCTTACTTAATTAAATCATACAGTACTACAGTGTTAACCAGAGATTTACGCGGTGAACAACAGTCAAATTAAACAAAATGCTATAACTGATTGCTCTGCGAAGCGAAGAATTTATGTATTAGCGGAAACGTGACATAAATTTCTCGGCAAAAGCAGGGAAAGCGAGCTTTATCCAAGGGCGACCAAGGCCCATGCACAGAGAGTATTGCACACATTGGAGCAAACTTTACGGCAGAACCAACCAGCACAAATCCTTACGCATACAGGGCGACACACCAAGCGACAGACAAAACGCCTCACGAGGTTACGTTTGGACCCTAAACAGAAAAGAAACAAAACCTAAACCTTTACAACTTAGAACTCTTTTAGAATAGTAATTTTAGGCGCTAGTAAACATCAACTGTTCAAGACTGTACTTCATGCGCACTACCTCTCTGAATCGCAAATGATGCAAATTATCATGATACTGATCAAAATAAGAAGATAAATGAGTGGATAAAAAGATTCAATTTATCTCATATCAATCTCACGTGCTGAAAAACTAGATCGCACACTAAGTGATACAAATCGATAATTAATCATAAATAATGTATTGTTACAGTCAATCTCTCAATTGTTTTCACTTACGTTTCGCGGGCTCTGTTTTCGTGGGTTTTACAGCGGTAGTTGAATCCACCTCCCCCTCTACCACGACGTAAATGGGAATTTTCTCGCACAGATCCGCCATTTCATCACTCAGTTCAGAACGGTCTTCAAGAGTTCCGACAACCTTCAACTTCAGTTCAATCTGCTCTCTTGGTATCTCAACCTGACCGCCTTTGCCTCCCTAGCCAGAAAGTGACATAAAAGAAAATATATTTTAGCGATGAAGGCGAATGCTCTCTGTTTTTACATTTATCTTCGGTACTATTATCCTCGGTACTATTCATGAAAGAATAGTTCCGAAGAGGTCTCAAACCGTCCTGTTATATTTCAAGAAAAAGTTCATTTTGTCACTTAACCAATATCTTCTGTATAGTTCATTTCTTTTGTCCTGGTCATCGGCAATGGGATTAACCGTTAACCTTAAAACTGTTCAAAAATTTAGCATTCAAGTGTAAATATTTGAAAATTACAACCATTAGCCATAACAATGTTAACTTTGACAGAACTTAGCAAACTATCATTTTCAGGTTTCCTTCATTTTAATGGTAATCCTGCACGTGGCCAAAATGACTCAAAATCACGTGACTGAGCTCCTTCAATATTCGGCAGTAATTCGTATGATAATAACCTTTTTCTTCGCGAAATGGTCCTAAGAGCTTTAATATGTTTGTCAGTAATCAAAATGATTTTTTAACTTTTTTTATGCAATGAAAATTATTTTTGAACCTTTTGAAACAAGCCGTACAAAAGACAAAATATTAATCGTTCGTCATAAGTCACCACCCCATTGAGACCCTCTTAGTCAGCTTGCCTTAGCTATAAAGGAAGAGACTATACTCAGGGAGTGCTGGAAATTTATTTGTTTCATTTCGAATACTATCACGGTTCGTTACTGTAGAGTAAGCAATACAAACTTGAAGTTACCAGCAGTTTCACTAAGGCGGCTGGCTTAGGGACATCATCGGTTGAATCGCTCAAAAAGCAGGAATTGGTCGCTGGCAAATGGACCATGGTCATATTCTGCAAAACAAGGTCATACGTGATTTGCTAAAAATTACGACAGCTTTTGAATTAAAGTGGCTAATCAGTAGTGAAGAGGGCTTAGGGTTTAAGTTGACATAAGGAAGGCAGTTTTCTTAAATAATTAATCTTAACTCAAAACTGGTTTGTTTAAGTCTATATAGACTATTGATTTCTTGGTTTTATCAATGTTAGTATCCACGATTTCCGGTAGATTCTGATTTACACCCACAGAGACACCAAGAGAGGTGAAACTTATAGCATAAGAAAGTCCTTGGTCAACAGACATTAGAATAACCTGTAGTATATGTAGTATAATACATGAACAGTTCAATCATGTTATAACCTTCTTAAAGTCGTAGACGATATCTCCCGCTTCGTCATCGGGTGAAGTCTTTGGCACGTGAAAAGTCTCTGTTTCTTTCTCAGTGTCAACTTCAACCTGTTCCTCATAATCCTTGCCGTCTTTGTTCATCTTCAATGTGTATTTTGACACTGGTTTACTAACGGGATCCTGCATAATATGAAAAATAGTTACATATCAGAGTAACTCTTTGCTCTTTTAATATTTAGGAAGAACACTTCGGCGTAAGTTATATATTTGGTGCATGCAAGACATCAGTTGCCGGCATTTACTGCTCAGCATCACAAAGATTAATTGCCGAATGATTAACTTCTCCGTTTCCCACATCATATTTCGCGGCAACTTAAGAGCTGTTGGAAGGTTGTTTCGAAATCCTTTCTCTTTTGGAAGCTGTTACTCGTGAGGGTAAGACGATCGTAAACTTTATATCGCTTCTACGATACATAATAACGCTGTACAAACTTTAAGTTAATGTGTAACAATCACTCTTATGTACCTCTTTGTCTTCACATTTACAGACAGTCGCCGCAGATGAGGCAGCAACAAAGACGGCAAAACACAGAAGGAAGACATTGAACTCCTGGTGAAAGGAAAGAGAAAATGTATCAGATATTTTTTCCAGCGGAGGTCGCTAAAAAGCAAGCCAACAGCGACTTTCGTATCCTTATAGACTGCACACAAAACATACATTTTATGGGTATGGTCAAGCTTTTAACTGCACAGGATAACAAGGCACGAATAACTAACCAAGGCCGGTATGGATTTTACTTCACATTTCTCTTGGTTAGACAATGGAGGTGATAGAATTCACTCGAAGGTAAATGAAACAATTTGATGCATGCACTACATACTGCTATACGCTTTCTCCACGCTAAAGCCAACTATTAATTTTCTCACAAAAACTTACCATTTCTTTACTCTTGTAACAAAATGGCGACAGTTCTTCGTTCTTCTTTTAGCAGAGGACTTGTACCTTTCTCGATTGAGAATGGCTGCAAATCCAACGGCGAACCTTTTTTATACTATTTGACGGCAGCCGAATGTTTCCTCATATTCAACTTGATATTAAGGATGTATTAGTATTTTACACCTGACTCCATCGTTTCATCTCGTCTACTGTGACATTGACCTCGTATTAGTGTTAACACTTCTTATTTTTTAATGGCAGTCTTCCGGACTCATCCTTTCCAGTCCCAGAAATGGTTGTTTCTGACAGCAAAATTGGCTTATATTTAAAATTTAAAAACACGTACACAAATTCAGGTAAAGACTTGGTGCGGTTTTCTGTTGGATATTTCTTGCAGCGCATGAGAATTCAATGTCACGTCTCAGTACATCCATCTTGACTTGGAGTTCTATCAGTTTAGTGCTTCCTTTAGCCATCACAGTATTGCGCATATGCTGAAACTATTTATGCCAGATCTCTAAGTTCCCAAAGTAATAAACTTGGATCGTCACCGACTTAAGCATTTAGCAGGCTTTTTATATCGCAACTTTTGAGGGGAGAGGGGGAGGGGGGCGGGTTCGCTCTTATCACATGTGCGTCGATTCATGTCAGTAAAGTAAAATGTTCTCAGTGTACATGGAGGGAAGCAGAAAGGAATAACTCTTTTTGGAATGAACTGATGTAACACCAGAGTATTATAATTACTCTGCAAGAACAAAAATCGAATGTAGCTCGAATCAGCTTTTTCTATCTTTTACTTCTATTGCCGCTTCTCGTAACAGATTTAATTGAGCAGAAACAAATTACCGCAGTTGAGAATCCCATCCACCTTATCATAAATCAACGACAGACGTTTTTACAGCAATTGGGCCTTAATCTGTCCCTTCACTTATCCTGCAAAAAGTCTTTAAATTTCTTATGTCTTCCATGCAGTGTCAGAGGTATACTTTGATAATTCTGGAAGAAATGCAGACTGTTCCCCATTCGATCCGGCCTATGTTTTGCCCCTTTGTTGTCTCAGGAAAATTAATTACGTCTCAGTTTAAGATGCAAGCTGCTTCGGTCCTTCCTTCATGTCTTGATGAAAATGATCCCGCTCACAAGAGCTTCGAAAACTTCAAGCTCGTGATTTAGTTTGTCACGCTAGAAGCCAAAATGTGTAAATGCAAAGTCATAGAAACTTTTCGTCTATTCTGTACGCAGCACTAAATCTTGAAAATCACATTTGTTGCATAATCATTTGCCAGCGGGAAGTCAGCATTGCTTCCGTCTTAAAGTGCCACTATGATGAAATTCTCGATATCCATTTTTTTACATTGTCGTACACAATAGGTCTTTCCTAGATATCTTGCCAAGTTTCAATCCATTACGCACATTAGATCTCGCGGATTTTGGACCTTTATTTCCGAGAATTTAGGGCCGCCATTAATTTTGTTCCAAGTCTTGGTTGAGAATTTGAGAAAATGATGTCATTTTCTCATTCAAAAATACCGCACGGGTTGAAATTATGATAACAATTAATGTAGAAAATTGCGCGAATATAGAAGCCAAAGTTTTTGTTATTCTTTATGCGAACTGATGTACTAATTGTTATTATAATTTCAACCCGTGTGGTATTTTTGAGAAAATGACGTCATTTTCTCCAATTCTCAACCAAGACTTGGAACAAGGAAAATTATTGTGTACGAGAATGTAAAAAAATGGGTATCGAGAATTTGATCATAGTGGCACTTTAAAACTCTGTATGTTATGAAAATTTAAAAATTCTTTGCCCTCGACCTACGGTCCTCGGGCTGTACTCAAGAGTTCGGGAAAGATTTTTTCGTCACTGACTCCCTTACGAGGAACAACGGAAACAGCATTACAAATGCTTTTCAAAAATTTAATTTTTGTTTGATCCTTATGTTACGTATAGTCATTGGAACACGCCGGAGTAACATAAATTCATTCCAAAGAGAGTTATTCCTTTGTGCCTCTCTCCATATATATCGAAAACATTTTCACTGTACTAAAATGAATCAGCGCACATGTGGTGCAAGGTTTAGCGAACCCTTCCCCCTTAAAGTTGCGTTTTAAAAAGCCTGCTAAATGCTAAAATGACGATGCATTTTCATTTCTTTGGGAACTTGCAGTCGAAAATTTCCTCGTATTCAACTTGATATCAAGGATGTACTATCTTACTTCCGATTTGAGCATCGTTTCAGCTTTTTCAATGGCAGTTTTCCAAACTTATCTTTTCCTGTCTCAGAAATGGTTGTCTCTGAGTGGAAAATTAGCTCACATTTGAAATTGGTATAAAAAACAAGACACATTCTGGTAAAGACTTTACCTTTTGGTATGGTTTTCTATTAGATATTTCTCGCAGCGCGTGAGAATTCAATACAAGTCTCAATAAACCCAACTTGACTTGGAGATCTATGTTCAGTGCTTCCTTCAGCCATCACCGTATGGCGCATATGCTGAAACTATTTACGACAGATCTGTAAAGTTCCCATTGAACATATCGCATACTTCGAGGGGGGGGGGTGGGGGAGGAGGGGTGGAGATGATTCGCTAAAACTTGCACCACATGTGCGCTGATTCATCTTAGTAGAGTGAAAATGTTCTCAATACATATGGAGGGAAGCGGAAAGGAATAACTCTTTTTGGAATGAGTTTATGTTACACCGAAGTATTACGATGACTCTGCGATATGAATGAAAATTAGGATCATCTTAAACAAAAATCAAATTTAGTTTGCATCAGCTTTCTGTATCTGTTTCGTCCCGGGTTACCTTCACCTGTGTTTCGTAACGGAGTTAAGGACGGTGCCTACTTTTGTTAGTGCGCACACTTTCTGCGTATCACACAAGGCATGGTTTAAGCGCCACGCGCGCGCTGGGTTGACGTGACGCAATCAACTACGCTACCAAGTGCACGACTAAATTGAAAGCAAAATTTTCCTACTGAACCAAATCAAGTTTAATGAATCTGTACTTAATCAGGAACACCATAACAGCAGCATATCGCTTACCACTAACTGTTAACGTCTTCCAGCTGAAAAACTAGCTATTATCTGTCGAAAATTATACTGAAATCCAANGTTTAAAATTGAAATGCAAGCTCTCTAATCTTGTAGACAAACCGAAGCCCACAACATGGCAGCCCTTATTGGGGAAAGAATTGGAATAAAAGACACGTCGCGTAGCGTTACAGTACCAGAGAACCCAAAAGCCAAACTGATGTACTACCTTGACTGTGTGGCAACAGTTATTCAGCTCGACAATCCCAATCTCCGCAGGCTGAGAGACTATCAGAGGTACCATTCACTAAGCGACGCAGAAATTGACGCCTTGTTGGTATTGATCCTACTTTTAAGCCCAGATGAGCTGATTGGCAAAGTATTCTTCCCGAGCGAAGACTGTGGAGGACGCACTAACCAATTCTTTGAGTTGAGCGCAGTTACTCACATGTTGGCTGTGTCAGACAACGTTCTGATTGGAGGAGAAAGCAAGAGAGTTGCCAAAATAATGTTTTATCAGAGGCGCTGGATGGAAGACAACTACATTTCACCCTTGAGGTCATTTGGGAGTCGTCTGCAAAGGCTGGCACGTGGTCTACCAGGAAGAGCACCAAATCCCACCAGAGCACTACCTCCACCATCTCGCCCCAGAGCACAACCTCCTCTACGCCCTCAGCCACGCCCTAATACTTCTACTGCCTGTTGTTGCATTGTTATGTAGCAATCTACGCAGTTTAACGCCGCAAAGAATTCATGGCAGAAACGATTGAAGTCAATGCTCTCACATAAAGATAAATAACAGTTTCCATGACGGAAATCACTAGCTTGTATTTTATTCAAAATGTGTTCAGTGTGTATATCAGTTTCAAAGTACTTGGTGTTACATTTAAGAAAATTTATGGCGCGGATCCGAGTATTTAAGTAAGTTGATAAGATACAGTCTGCCATCGAACGTTGGCAAATTTCTTAAACAACCGAGTGCCAGACTGGAGAAAACTTTAGGGCATAGGTCTTTTACATCCGCTGCCTACAGACTTCAAAAATGCGGGCACTTCAGCCGATTTTAAATCTAGTTTACAGCGAGTACACTCAAACCATGAACAGCTGACTTTTTTGAACATTTTTTAATGATTATCCAATGCCGGACCACTCTACACACAAAAAAGGATGAGTGTTTCTTAGGCGCTAGTAACCCAAATCCTTTAGTCTGGATGAACAAGTCTCACTTGATAATCAGAAAAAAAAAAATGTGCAAACAAAGTCAATTGTTCACGGTTCGAGTGTCCTCACTGTAAAGACCTATATAGTCGAACCTCGATTATCCGGACTCGTTGGGATTAGACGAAATAGTCCGGATAATCGAAGGTCCGGATAATCGAAAATATGAATATTAATGAAGAAAAAAACTGTTGAAATAAAGCAATATTTAATCATGACACAACACTTTTACAAATCGTTTGGAAAATAATATGGTGTACTGTACATCTTGAACCACTCAACTCTGAGCCAATCAGAACTCATTCGAGTGTTCTTCATTAGTTACGACGCGTGCGAGCGCTGCTTTTGCTCTTT